GTCCTGCGTCCCGGGCCCCGCCACCGCCCCTCCACACCCCGAGTCCGCTGTCCCCTCCTGGTCCCTGGGACCGCGTCGCCCCTCCCCGTGCCCCGGACCCTGCCGCCTCCCACCCCTGTCCGGGGCCCGGGCCCCGCCGCCCTGGCGCGGGGAGTAGGCCTGCAGCCCTGCTGGCACAGGAGGAGGAGCTTGGGGCAGCTCCAGGACAGGTGGCCGGCGCGCCGCGACTCCGCGTTTGGGGATTCACCGGGAAGGGGCTTTCCAAAGCCACGTGAGGCGCGGGGACCTGGGGGTAGGAGGGGCGACTTGGGCCTTGAAACAGGGTCTTCTTCCCACTCAGGAGCAGGCCACGGGTCTGCTTCCCTTCCCAAGATCCAGAGACCCCGGGATGTACCCCCTCCCCGTAAGCTGGGCAAGTCCTCCAGTACAGGGTTGGGGGGCGCGGGACAGCCGGTGCTGAAGCTGGAGAAGGCGTTAGCAGAGTGGGCTGGCGGCGGGTGGCCTGCTGTGCTCAGACTATGCCTGCCTGGGTCTGGAGCTTTCTGAGGTGTTCCGGTGGCACCCCCGCCCCCTCCCAGCCTGACTGTGGGGTCTGACCATCGCTGTCCTGGACTGTGCCCAAGGCACAGATGCCCTGTGGGTCGGGATGGCAGTGCCAGGAGTCTGGGACAAGCACACTGCTCCCAGCATCCCAGAGTTCCGGCTCCATCTCCAGCTGGGGGTAGGGCTCGTGACTGCCAGCTCCAGAGCCCTGTTGAGAGCTCCGTGGGAGGGCAGGTCCTCTCAGGGGAGAGACCTGAGTCCATAGCCCTTCCTGCATCTGCTGGGGTGGGGGTGGGGGGCATGTGCGGTGGCCTCGAGGTTTGGGGAAGAGACAAGGTGACATGGGCTGGAGATCCTCTGGGAAGTTCCAGCTGGTGGAGCCCCCACCCCCACCCAGGTCTTCCAGGGGTCTGAATGCAGAACCAGTCAGACCACCTAGAGCGCCTGGTGAAGGCAGGATCCACTGTGGGTGGGAGACAGACAGGGGCTCTGCGAGGGGAGGGACCAGCATGCCAAAGAAACCAAAAGTCCTCGTAGGAAGAAAGCTGGCGAAGCTGGGGAGTCCAGGCTGGACCAGGGAAGAGTTGAGGGGGTTGAGGGCTACTGTGGGGAGGGGCTCTGAGAGGTGCGGGCCCTGGGGGCCCCAGCCTGGTTTTCCTGAGAGGCGGACAATCCGCTTGACTGGGGTGTTCAGGCAAAGATTGGGAGCTATACAGGAGAATCGGGCATAAGGTGACAGGGTGGGGGTTGGGGCTTTGCCCTTCATACCCGTCGTGCACCTAAACATGAGCCCTGCAGGCAAGCAGCTGGGACAGGGCAGTCCCCTCCCAGCAGATCCTCATACTGTCCCTGCCCGTCCTCAGTCCAGGAATCTCCGGGGCAGTCCTCCTTACGATGGGAGATTGTGATCTGTTGCCAGGGGACAATGCCGCAGGAAGTACTTTGCCCCTCTGGTCACTCCGGCATGTTCAGAGGGGACTACTTGCCAGCCTCCAAAAGGGCACAGGTGTAGTGGGAGAGGCCAGTGTCCTAACACCTTGCTAGGGCCCCCATCTGAGTCTCCAACTTTGCCCCTCTGGTCACTCCGGCATGTTCAGAGGGGACTACTTGCCAGCCTCCAAAAGGGAACAGGTGTAGTGGGAGAGGCCAGTGTCCTAACACCTTGCTAGGGCCCCCATCTGAGTCTCCAGAGGGGTCCCCTACTGTAAGTGCCCCCAGGGGGGTCTGTCCAGCAGCCACCCAGCCCTACCTGGTCCTCCTGTCCCCCTCAGGTCTTCGCCTTGATCGTGTTCTCTTGCATCTTGGGTGAGGGCTACAGCAATACCCACGAGTCTAAACAGATGTACTGTGTATTCAACCACAACGAGGACGCCTGCCGCTACGGCAGCTCCATCGGGGTGCTGGCCTTCCTGGCCTCAGCCTTCTTCTTGGTGGTCGACGCACATTTCTCCCAGATCAGCAATGCCACTGACCGCAAGCACCTGGTCATTGGCGACCTGCTCCTCTCAGGTATCTATCATCTACCTGTGGCTCCTCCATTTGATCTTGGGAGGTAGCTCTTGGGTCCCTTGGGAGGGAAAGACACGGAGCAGCTCAGGTCCCCAGCCCCACTTGAGCAGGCCTTGCTTATGTCCTTTTTATTCCCTGGGCTAGCACATAAGGATTTCTGCTGAGACCCCCTGGTGTTGGGACGTGACTGCTGGGCTAAGGAACCAGGCGTCCCAGAGATAGAATCCCAGGAGACAGAATCCCAGCGGGGCCATCCACTCAGTCCTCTCCTCCAGCTTCTGCAGCTTCCAAGTCCTGGAGACTCCTGGGAGATCCCTGCCTTAGGGCCTACCTTCCCCTTCTGGACCCCACCCCGCAGGCCCCTGGAAAGCCCCTGCCCCTCCATGGAGGTGACCCTCCTCACCCTGTCTTCTCCCCAGCTCTCTGGGCCTTCCTGTGGTTTGTTGGTTTCTGCTTCCTTACCAACCAGTGGGCGGCCACCAACCCGGAAGATGTGCTGGTGGGAGCCGACTCTGCCCGGGCAGCCATCACCTTCAGCTTCTTTTCCATCTTCTCCTGGGTAGGCGGGCCAGGGGTGGGCAGGTCCGTGGTGTCTTTGGTGAAGGGTGGTGGAGGGTTGAGGTCCCCTCTCCCACCTGCCGCCCCTCTGTCCCGCCCCACCCAAACCTGGGGTCTCCCTGCAGGGTGCGCTGGCCTTCCTGGCCTACCAGCGCTACAAGGCCGGAGTGGACGACTTCATCCAGAATTATGTCGACCCCACCCCGGACCCCAACACGGCCTATGCCTCCTACCCAGGCGCATCTGTGGACAACTACCAACAGCCGCCCTTCACCCAGAATGCCGAGACCACCGAGGGCTATCAGCCACCCCCTGTGTACTGAGTGACACCAGGGGTAGGAAAGGGGCAGGGAAGGTGCCCTGCGGCCCTCTGTTCCACCCCGGACTTTTCCCACGAGGCTTGCCTCCTGGAGCCACCAGCTGCTGTCCTCTGCTTGGTGCCTGTCACAGCTGATGCAGCATGGAGAGCCCCTTGCCCTCCCTCACCCTGGCTGCAGCCACCCCCGAAGCGCCTGTGCCCAAAGGGGCTTGCCAGTCACCACTCACTCCTCAAGGGCATTTTTTAGAAAAGAGGTTTTAGCTAGACGAGTTTTCTCACTGCTTTTAATGATCCCCAGCCCCGCCTGGAGTAGCTAAAAGTAGGAAGGTCCCCGACGTGCTGTTTTGACAAGTGCCTTAGCTTCTCCTGCTGCCCCAAGGGGCCGAGCCCTGGTCAGGTGGTGGTAGCTGCTTACTTAGGGTCTCTGCCAAAGACGGAGGATGGGGGCCTTACACCTGTCCCTTGTGCGCTGGTGCTGGGCTCAGGCTCCCTGCCTCCTCACTCAGGTTTTTCCGCCCCTGCCCGGCCTTGGGCCAGGCCGTGTGCTCACTGCTGTGTGGTTTGGGGGCATCAACCCATGCCAATTGCCTCTGGGCTGCCTTCCTGACAGCCATGGGGGTGGGGCTGGTGCCCACCTGCAGGGATGGGACCACACTTCTTTATCCCACCCTCTGGCAGCAGGGAGGGGCTTTGCCTGAAGACAACACCCAGCTTTATGTAAATATTCTGCCACTGTTATGACGTGTGGGGAGGGGCAGGGCGTCCCTATAGTCCCCCAACCGTTCGAATGTATTAAAAAGCCTTGGGGGGAGATGCCTGTGCCCTCCAGTCCTATTAGACTGGCCTGGAGACAGAATAAATGTTTTTCTCATTCACAGTGTCCGCTGTCATTAGTTGGGCCTCAGCCTAGAGAAAATCCACTCTGGGGTATGCCCTTGGTGGGGGTCTGGCTTTGTGGAACTTGCATTTTGAACAAAGCAGTGGCATTCGGCCCCTCCAGCGCAGCCCCTGCCCTCTCCTTGTCTAGGGTCTCATTCCTCACACTGCCTTCCATCAGCATCTTAAAATAGCAACTGTGCTCAGCTTGTAAACAAGATGACTTTTCTGGACTGCCTTGTCAGGGTACTGCTGCTTGCTTCCTAGAGTTGGGGCGGGGACACCTAGGGGTTGCCCCTCTGAATGCCCCTTCCCCAGTGACCCTTTCCCTCTCACCCTTTCATAGCAGTGAGGGGTGCCATGGGAGGGATGGTGGAGCCAGGCTCCTCTGCTTCCCGGCAGGCAGGGGCTTAGCGCCTCCAGACCCCTGCCAGGGACGTGGCAGGAGGTTGGGCCCCTGAAGCAACTTCTGGCTTCCCCCTTTTCCAGGTGGCTGGCTGGTACAGGGATCAGACCCCGGACCTTGGTGTTATCAGCACCACACTTTAACCTACTGACCTAACTGGCCAGCCCCTGGCTTCCCCTTTTGAGCAATGACAGCCTGTCAGCAATGGGCGCTGATGGTTTCAAAACCCCAAATACAAACCAATAGGGCCCCTCTCCCAGGTTTTGTGCACTATAGTCCTCACTGCTGAGATCATCTCCTAGCTGTAGCTCAGGACAGATCACTAGCTAGCTGGGGTATATAGCAAAAGGGAGAGAGCAAGCTGGGATGGTGGGGAAGCCATCTGGGAACAATGACCATGCCAGCAACAGGGCACGCGGGCACCCCCAACCCCCAGCAGAGTCTTGTCTCCACTGAGCAGCCGGCAGCCCATTTTGCAAGACACAGCTGAGCTGTGTCTTCTTGGCTCCTGAACTATCAAGTGTCTGTTTCACAAACAAAACCTGACCTCCCAGCCCCAGCTGGCAGCAGACCTGGCTTCATCTTTCCAACCTGGCTCCCAGGCTCCTCCTCCACTCATGTTTATCCTGAAATTGGCCCAGACAGAAAGGCAAGCGAACGTTCCTTTTAGTACATGGTCCGTGATCATGTCTCAGTTAAAAAGACTGTGGTTAAGAGAACAGTAGCACTACAAAGAGATCTTGAAAGAAATCCCCACCCAAATCCTGTCAGAGCTGTCTACAAGACCTGGGGAATCCCAGGTTAAAGAGAAATGTGCTTTCACCAACCAGTGCATTTCACTTAGTTATTTTCATATATTACAGCAGGAGTGTGGCCCCTGCCCCCCTCTCTTCCCCACCAAGAGACAAGCCCCTAGGGCTCGAGCCCACCAGGGTCAGTGCCACCCATGTGAAAGATGCTGTAATTCTGGAGAAAACAATCACCAGAACGGAGGAAGGCCTTTCAGCCCAAAGGGAAGCAAGAGCCCAAGCCGACCTCAGAGGAGGGCAGAGCAGTCCCCGGCAGAGGACAGACGCCATGGTGCGGGACGACGCTCATAGGTGCTGGTGCACAGACTTCCCAGGGAGAACAGAAACTCAACAGTAAAAGCCACAAAGGGGGAAGCAGCCAGCAGCACTGATGTCACAACAGCACATGGCTCTGCCCCTCACCCCAAAGCAGGAGGGGACATTTGCAGCAGCCAGACCTGGAGCCAGACACCACACAGGCCAGCTCCAGCCTGGGGTGGATCATCCCAGCATCTCGGAGGGGAACCGAGAAAGGATGGGTGGGCAGGCAAGGGCGGAGGATGTGACACACGGACCAGCCTCTGAAAGGGCCTGTCTTTGAGGGCAGCAGATTCCCCAAGCGCAGTAATCTCCATCTCCTCCCCAGACTTCCTCCTCCAGAAAGGTCACGCGTGTGCAGGGGGCAGGCACCCGCTAGGGGGCAGCAGCAGTTGGCTGTCCTTGGCCACAGCCTGGACCCCCTCAGTGGGCGGGGTTGCACTGCAGGACCTGCTGAGGGGCAAAGAGCTTCCTGGATGCAGCGGCCTCCCCCGGCTTCCCCAGCACTGGGCAGTTCTCCTTGTCGAGCCCGCCGGGCTGCCCCGAGGACTTCTTGAAGTAGCAGAGGCGACACACAGAGTGGTACTTGTCTGCTCCACCGATCACCTCGACCTGGCCACAGGGAGAGGAGAGGGGTGGGTGTGAAGGGGACTGGCTCAGGAGGAGGCAGTGCCCCACCCCCACCCTGCCCGCTGGAGAGAGGGCAGGTGGCAGCTACCTCTTTCTCCGTGCCCAGCCTCTTGGTGTAGGCGGCTTCCCGGAAGCATTCCATGCACACCGCGGTCAGCTTCACCACGCTCTCGGCCAGGGGCACCAGGTGCAGGACAGCTCCGAAAGCCTACATCCCCAGAGAGAAGGCAGGCGCTCAGTCACCTTGCCAGGTGAGTTTCTTTTGAACCCTTTGATCCATAAGCACTGAAGCAAGACAATTTGCTTTGACCTTTCTTCCCCGTGCCCAGAACTCCGTGCCCTGTTCCGTCTCTGCCAATTCAAAGCACCTGCTGGGAGCAGATGACATCCGGTCTGGATACACTCACTCTGCAGCAGACCAGGGAGTCCCTGGGCTCAGGCAAGGCCTGGTCTGAGCAGCTCAGCCACACCCCGTAGTGGCCAAGCCCTGGGCATCCAGGAGTGCTGTGTTGAGATGCACAAGAGGCGCACTGGGTGCCCATCTTTGTGCACTGCTCTTTGCCTGCTGAGAGGCCCTTTCCTCCCTCCCAGAACCCAGGACAAGACCCAGACACGATGCTTTACCTTTCTCTGGAAGGTCCCGTCCAGTGCAGCCACGATCACTGTCTTCCCGGCATTGGCCATGGTCTCGCAGAACTCCACAATGTCGGGGAACTGGAAAGAGTGGGTGGAGGGAGTGAGTTTCTACCCCGAGCAGCAGCTCCTTGAACCTCGGAGAAGACACTGCTGGATCCCACAACTCGGATCAGCATGGGGCATGAGCACAGGGCAACTCTAAGGCTCCCATGAGGCTCCCCCAACTGGGAGACTAGTGTCCATCTGTATGCACTCCCACCTGCAGACATGCATGTCCACAACCACCCAGCCAGCCTCCCACGGCACAGCTCTATTCTGCTCCAAGCCCAGGCACCAGGACTTGACACCAGACTGCTGCACCCGCCTCCTGACACCACAGCAGTCAGAGGTTCGAGTGAGGCAGCTGCCGTGGGCTCAGATGCTGCCCTTAGTTAGACTTGTTAGCTGCATGACCTTGGCAATGACTTCATGTTTCTGAACCTGTTTCCTCACTAAGAAGTGGCAGGTAAGGCCCTCGCTGTTTAAGGATGAAAAGGCACTCAATTTATTATATATTTGTATGCTATCTGGCTAATAGGTGGACTTTTTATGCGCCCCCCCCCTCTTTTGAACAGATGATGTGCATGTAATGCCTTGAGAAGAGGAGGGGTCCCACTGGCCATTTACCGAACAGGATGACATAGTACGTCCTTCTAAATACAGGGTCTGCAGAAAGCTCATTTACTTTGTAAATCAAATTTCATTTTAAGTGGCCCAGGGAGAGTCTGACACTTAAGCAAATATTTGGCGAATTTTCATTGATTAAGCATATTTACTGCCTTTAGTTGAGTATGTTCATGTGTCTAATCGGTCTTCGGGTTGGGTGAAGTGGGATGTTGTCTCTGGGTGAAGGGTCTCTCTCTCCAGGCCACTCAGGCCTGGCTCAGCCTGTTTATTGAGGTATGAGGGTCTAATCGGTCTTCGGGTTGGGTGAAGTGGGATGTTGTCTCTGGGTGAAGGGTCTCTCTCTACAGGCCACTCAGGCCTGGCTCAGCCTGTTTATTGAGGTATGAGGTTATTGAGACATGAGAGCTGAGTCAGATGAGGACCATGAAAGTGGTTTGAAAAACCAAGGGCACTTGGAGCCAAATACGACCTCTCCACACAGCTGGCAGGGGCCTCTGGGGGAAGAGCCCAGAGACTCCAGCATGACCTGGCCATGCACACCTTCCTGTTTTTTCTCTAAAGGACTCATCCCATGTCATGGAAGTGCAGCTCCCATCCTGCAAGGAGCTGTCGGCCAGTACATCTCCTCACCCAGGGTCTCAGCCACGGCGTTCTTGGCATTCGAGGCTGTCATTCTGTGTTGTGGGGCTGTACTGTGCATGTTCAGCAGGGTCCCTGGCCTCCACCCACTCGATGCTGGTAGCACCCCCCTCGCTCCCCAGTTGTGACAAACAAAATTGTTTCCAGACATTGGCCAAAGTCCCCTGGGTGGGAACTGGGGGGCAACACCAGCCTGGGTTGAGAACCCTGCTCCTTAACCCTCCACATGAAGGCAGAAGTCAGGTCACAAACCCAAATCCAGGGTTTCGGGCTGGAGGAAGGCCCTTGGCCCCCCACTCACTGCATCTCCTCTCTAACCTCGGTCTGGTGCCCACAATCAAAGAGCCCAATCCTTCTGCCCGACACTTGCTCCCCATTTGGTGTGATGCCACCCCTCTCCTAGGTGACATCCAACCCCGAGCCCAGCAGAGGCTCCTGAGCAATCAGGAGTTTTCGAAGATAAAGACAGAGGAGCCCAATTTGTCTGCAATATTCCTTTTTCTTTTTTTTTGGCAGCTGGCCAGTACAGGGATCTAACCTTAGACTTTGGTGTCCTCAGCTCCACGTTCTAATCAAGTGAGCTAACCAGCCAGCCCATCTTTGCAACATTTCAAAATGATCTTTGGTAACCAAGTTATTGGTATTTATGTTGATTTCCATTAGTAGTCTAGGTTGTGCTATGGGTTGAATTGTGGACCCCCCTCCTCCAAATTCATGTGTTGAAGTCCTAACTTCCAATATCTCAGAATGTGACATTTGGAGATAAGGTCTTTGCAAAGTAATCAAGTTAAGATGAGGTCATTAGGGTGGTCATTAATGCAATGACAGGTGACCTTATAAGAGACACCATCTACAAGCCCATGAGAGGGGCCTGGAGCAGACCATTCCCGCACAGCCTCAGAAGGAACCAGCCCTGCTGACACCTTGATCTTGGACTTTTGGCCTCCAGATCTGTGAGGGGATAGACTTCTGTCCTTCAAGCCGTCTGTGGTACTTGGTTAGAGCAGCTCGAGACTAATATAGGTTACATTTAAAATGGAACTTCAAAGTAGTTAGTAAAGCCATGGTTTCCTCAGCAGACAAAAATTGCAACATGGGGTCGTGTAGGAAAGTAACAAGAGGGCTTTCTAGAGCGTGACAACAAATCTGCCCACTCGGATTCGTCTGCAGTTTCAACACCTCTGGGTGGCCTGCAGCAAGCCATTTCCACCTGCTTCATCATCTGGCCAACGGCTGGCTGGTCAGGCCCCTGCTGGGAGACCTCTGCGGCTGGCACAGACACAGGCTAGTGTTGGAGAGGCAAAGGCCACAGAGGGCAGGAGTGAAGGATGCAACCGTGTAAGAAGTACATTCCGAATGGTGAGACGACATGAAACGCCACAGACAAAATTCAAAGGCAAATAAATGGGAAGGGATGTTGACAGCCTGTGACAAAGGAGCAACAGCTATTTCACCTTCATGAAAAATAAGGAAAAAGGGACAAACTAAGAGAAAAAAATGGGTGGAAGCCCTAAAAAGGCAACTTACAAAAGGAGAAGTAAATAGAAGTAGCCAATAAACACAGGAAAAGGTGTGAGCCACGTTAGTAACGAAAGGGACATGCTGTCAGAGGAGGGTGTATGCATGTAAGCTGTCACCTCCAGCCAAGCCACCCCCTCTCTCCAGGTGCTTTCTGCAGAGGCCTGGCTGGCCTCGCACTGCCCTCTGGCCCCTGCTGTCCGTTCTGCATCTGTTCAAGAACAGACCCTTCCGCGACCTCCTGTCTCTCTCCCAGGGTTAACACCTAAGTCCTTACTGGCCTAACTGCAGCCATCTGGCCCTGGCTGCCCCACCACCTCAATGGCTACAGCCACAGGCCCCTCCCTACTCCTGAGACACACTGGCGAGCACATTCCTGCCTCGGGGCCTTCCACTGCTTGGAGCGCCCCTTCAGTCTCCTGCAGGCCCTTTCCTGACCATCCCCATACAGAGTCACCACCACCGTAAGTCACTATCTCCCTCCTGCTGCCTTTTCCCTCTAACTCATAGCAGTTGTCACTGCCTGACCTATTGGACATTCCTGTCCCCTAACTATAAGGTTTACTCAAAGGTGGGGACTCTGTTTGTGTATCCAGCCCTTAGAACGTTGCTGCCGTATGGTACGAGCTTCAAAACTTACTGAATGAATGAATGAATGAAAAAGATTGGCCCACTTTAGCCCAATGTCTGTGTGCAGATTTTCACAGCCTTTCAATGTCACATACGAGGGGGCTTAAATGGTATAATGGTAAAGGTAGGTATTTGTTGACATGAAAAAATGGTCACACATTGTGATATGAGCCTGCTCTACTAAAAAATAAAGAAGGGTTGGCCGGTTAGCTCAGCTGGTTAGAGCGTGGTGCTGATAACACCAAGGTCCAGGGTTCAATGTACTGGCCAGCTGCCCAGAAAAAAAAAAAAAAAAGTATACAGATTAGGAGGATATAGGCCGACGTGTTATATGGATTTGTTTACTTTTCAGGCTGGTGGAAAAGAGAAAAGCAGCCCCCAGCAGCCAGAAGCTGGCCTGGCACTTGCAGCTGGGCCCTAGCATTGGCTGAATGTACTAAATTTCATAGAACAGCAACATCAGGAGAGGCTTCTCTGTGACCATATGACAAGACCAGGGCATGGTCCAAGCCACTCGCATTGGCCAGTGCCTGCTGCTTTACTAATTAGGGTTCTAGTCCACTCTCCCCGGGGATAAGGTTTAAGACACTGATTGCACAGTCACCTTCCTGAGAGCACCTAACCAAGAGTGAAGCACCTCGTAACACCTCCCAGAATGACCCAACAGCAGCCCCAATCCTGCAAACCCTTTCTAAGCCCCTCACTGAGATGCCCCCGTGGGGTCCCACGGTGTGTGGTCTCCCACGTCCCACAACAAGCAATAAACCCAAGTTGTTCAGCTCTGGTGGTGCTCCCGGTGGTCTCTGGCTGACAGACATTGACAACGGTAAGTTACGGACTTTCTTATTTCTTATGTGTATCCCTAATTTTTTCTAGGTTAAAGCTGTTAGGATTAGGACTTATGCAGTAAAACAGAAATAAAACGCAAAAAAAGTTTAAGAAAACTCACGTCCGGCTAATTGAAAGCATCCCTGCAGGCCTGTGACACACCACGTGTGGCTGGTTAATGAACTTGCGGGGATGCCCCAGGAGCTGTGGTGTGCACCCACCCCTAGCATCTTAAGCACAGCATCCTCAGAATGTGGCTGTGGGGTCTTCAGATGAATCTCCCCCAAATGCCAACAATTTCTACAAAGCAGCTTGAGCACTTCTGTACCTTGCCCAGCGTCACAAGTAAGCAAAGAAGTTCTGAGCCAGGGCCTCCCTCAGAAAGTCCTGGCAGCTCCTCTGTGAAAAGCCCTTCCCCGCTGACCCAGAAGACGGGGACAAGGCAGGTTAGAAGACCCTTCCTCCCCCGTCCCCAGCAAAGGATAAAGGAGGGAAGGGCAGCCCTTCTGTTGTCCCATGCTAGGAGTCCGCCTTCTCAAACCAGAACTTCTTGCAACAGAAAGACTGAATTTCTTGCAGAAAACAAGCGCTCACAGAGGGCAGGGCAGAAGCAAAGAGTGGTGATGTTTTTAGAGTGGGTACAGGAGTCTCCCTGTAGTCGTGGTTTCACTTTCCAGGGTTTCAGTTATTCACAGTCAACCGCAGTCCAAAAATATTACATGGAAAATTCCAGAAATAAACAATCCATAAGTTTTTTTTGTTTTTTTTTTTTTAAAGATGACCAGTAAGGGGATCTTAACCTTTCACCCTTGTTGTCAGCACCACGCTCTCCCAAGTGAGCCACGGGCCGGCCCTAACAATCCGTAGGTTTTAAATGTGCGTGTCCACTTCATCCCACCCAGGGAGTGAATCATCCCTTTGTTCAGCGTATCCACAACCACCTATTAGTCACTTAATAGCCACCTCATCACTGGGCTTGTGTTCAAGTGGCTGTTACTTTATTTAATGATGTCCCCAAAGCACAACAGCAGTGGTGCTGGCAGTTCGGATATGCTGAAGAGACGCTGTGAAGTGCTCCCTTTAAGTGAACAGGTGAACGTTCTTGAATTAACAAGGAAAGAAAAAAATTGTATGCTGAGGTTGCTAAGATCTATGGTTAAGAATGAATCTTCTAGGGCCGGCCCGTGGCTCACTCGGGAGAGTGCGGTGCTGATAACACCAAGGCCGCGGGTTCGGATCCCTATATAGGGATGGCCGGTTAGCTCACTTGGGAGAGCACGGTGCTGACAACACCAAGCCAAGGGATAAGATCCCTTTACCTGTCATCTTTCAAAGAAATTTTTTTTAAAAAAAGAATGAATCTTATATCAGTGAAATAGTGAAGGAAAAATAAATTTGTGCTCAATTTGCTGTCGCATCTCAAACTACAAGTCACAGTCAGTGTGTGATAACTGCTTAGTTATGATGAAAATATTTTGAGACTGAGATTATATTCATATAACTTTTATTACAGTATATTGTTATAATTGTTCTATTTACTATTATTGCTGTTAATCTCTTACTGTGCCTAATTTATAAATTAAACTTAATCATAGGTGTGTGTCTATAGGAAAAAACATAGCATGTATAGGGTTTGGTACTCCCCAAGGTTTTAGATGTCCACTGGGGGTCTTGAACGTATCCCCCGTGGATAAGGGGGACGACCACATAATAAATACCATTGAACAAACTAAAGTTTTGCTTGCTCCCCAGTGAGGAAGCAGACAATTAAATCCCTCCTACAGGTTAGAAAGAGGGAAGAGGACTTTGGGGTCTGCTGGGTCGTGACCCGGGGCATTTGGGTAACAATCAAAGAGGAATGAGAAGAGAAAGGTCACTGCCTGGGGTGTCTGGGTGGGTTTCTGTAAACAAGTTTTACATGAAGCCGGGACAGCAAGGCTATTAAGCAACTCATAGCAACGAGTCTGTAAGGAGAGCCTCCCCAAAGCTGAAACCTCCTTTTTCTGAGAAGGCCATACCCCCAAAGCTGATCCACTATCCTCAGATCCATTCTGAGGCCACAGTTTGGAAGAGAAAGGGAAGGGCTGTACCCCCGTTCCCAGCCTGGCCTCACTTTCTTGCCTGGAAGTCCCTCAACCACAGCAACAAAAGAAAATATCAGTGTACGCGCAGACATACTTATGCTCAAAAGCACATCTCTGAGGATCAGAAATGGAACGGGCATCCCCAAGGTGGGTGGCATCACTGAACCCAGAGCAGGCACCGGCATTCCAAGGTCCGTCTCGACAGGGGAGACGCCCCATGCAGGGTAGGGGATCTGCCAGCCTCACCGTGGGAATGAAGTTTGGGGCTGTGACCTATAGGACGGTGGGTGAGAACAGACTGTAATGCTCCTGTAGGATATTACTGGGAGGTGGGGCAGCCAGACATTGACAACCATTCATCAAACAAACAAATTTCTTCTTCCTGCAGTATGTAAAGCTAGACTAAAAGTACAATTGAGGGACTGAGGTCAGCAGCCTGGCCCATGAAAACCTCACACCCAGGGGATTCCCATGTCTTTCCCCTTCTACCGTCTGATGCAGCCACCTGGGTGATCTTAGACACCACGTGTTGACGATGGTGAGCTTCATGGGCGGCTCCCCATCAACTGATGTGCAACCACCTAGGAGTATGTTAGTGAGAAATAAATTTCTATTGTGTGTACATTTATATCAAATCATCACATTGTATACCTTGAATAAATTCAATCTTTATTTGACAATTAAATATATTTTTTAAAAGTCTATCATGTTAAGCTACTGAAATTTTGGGTGTATTTGTTATAGCAGCTCTTATTACCCTCCCTAATGTACTGGAGGCAACCACAAACCTGCCTGAGGGGTTAAGTGAGCTGAGCCCCTTTCAGAGTGAGTTTTAGTTTCATTCATTCATTCAAGATACACTTCCAGGGCCGGGCCCGGGGCGCACTTGGGAGAGTGTGGCGCTGGGAGCGCAGTGGCGCTCCCGCTGTGGGTTCAGATCCTATATAGGGATGGCCGGTGCACTCACTGGCTGAGCGCAGTGCAGGTGACACCAAGCCAAGGGTTGCGATCCCCTTACCGGTCACGAAAAAGGCCCCCCCCCCCCCAAAAAAAGATACACTTCCAAAAGACAAAAAATTCCAAAGCACAAGAGGGAAACGAAGGCAACAAAAGATAATCAACAAGCTCAGCCAGAGAATGTGCCCCTGAAGAAACGAGGAGCTTTAGCTGGAAAAGACTAAAACAAGATTTTCAGATAGTGGAAGAAACAGCATGAATTAAAAACCAAACAAATGGTGAATCATTAAACAAAAATGAGTTCGATGAATTAGAGTAGCAGATATAAAAAAAGAATGAATCAGAAATCCCAGAAATGAAAAGTAGGCCATTGACACAAAACACACTTTGGAAGACACTACCCGGAACACCTCACAGAGGGGTGAGGACAGAGATATTTGAAGTGATAATGGTTTAATTTCTTTCCCAGAAATGAAAAGGCACAATGAATACAAAATAGGGTAAATAAAAACAAAACTTCCCCTAGAAACGTTGTTCTAAGAGAAAAGGGATTACCTGCCCAGGAAGTAACCATCACACTGACGGCTGCCTTCCCCTTAGCTGTGAGGCTGGGAGTACCCACCCCGTGCAGAGCAGCAAGGTCGGCCCACCACGTGCTGCCCAGCTCAAACTGGAGGACAAAACAGACGTTTTCACACTAAGACTGGGAGAGCTGCCCTCTACACGTCCTGGCTGCAAGAACTACTAAAGGATGTATCTCAGCAAGGAGAAAAGTAAACGCATAAGGAACAAGCAGGAAGCAAGAGTGATACAAAGAAAACACTCCTTAGACACCACCGTTGAGAAATCTGACTTTTTTTGGTCACTGTATATATTAAAAAAAAAAAGAAAAAAAAGTAAAAGAAATCTATATGACAGTAACACGGACACTAGTAAAGGGAATTCAGCTGAAGCAAGTGAACTTTGTTACTTTACTAAAAGATCAGAAATAGAACTGATCAGAATAGGCCCTGGGCAAACCAGCAGCGGAAAAAGGGAGACAGAGAGGGAGCTTTGTAGGAAGAGCTTCCTACAAAGAGTGATGCCAGGACAAACCAACTTACAAACTGCCCTTCGTCGATGCCTATGACAGCCACACCCAGGGCTTCCTGGGCCACATCCCGGAGCTGGCAGGCAGGCAGAGCCTCCATGGTGTTCCTGAAATGAGTAAGGCAGAGCATGAGCAAGGCAAGGGAGCCCGAGGAGACCCAAAACCAGAATGCAAAGGCCAGGGAATGGCTACTGTCTTGACCAGTCCTCCACCTGCAAAGCAGCCTGTGGCAGTGGCCTAGCAGAGCTTTGAGAAGTTAGTGCCTATGGGAAGGGATATGGGGAGAATGAAGCCCTTGTCCAGTAAACCAGTTATTTAATATAAGCTATTTCACTTGACACTTTGGACTAGAAATTAGCAATGTCCTGTATAAAGTTCAATGTGACTTTAAAGCTCTTTTATGCTTCTGTTTGGTGTGCTGGGGGCAGACCAGGCCTGCTTCTTCATCAGGTACAGAGCCCAGGGCCCATGACACTCTTAGGGGCCAACAAAATGTTTTCTTTTTTTTTTTTTTCCTTTTTGTCTTTTTTGCGGACCGGTAGCGGGATCGCACCCCTCGGTGTCACGCCCGCACCACGCTCAGCCAGTGAGCGGGAACCGGTCTCCACATGGGATCCGAACCCTCGGCGGGAGCGCCACCGCGCTCCCAAGTGGCGCACTCTCCAGTGTGCCACCGGGCCGGCCCTTTCATTTCTTTTAAAATTCAGAAGAATAAATAAGTATAACTCGGTCTGGATTATATTTGTCTTTATATCAATGTTGTCATAAAGTATAATTTAAATAATTTTTTTTTATGGAGGAAGGGGCCCACGAAGACAAAAGTATCCAGGCCCTGGGCGGCCCATTAGCATCAGAGTCTCAGACTACAAGAGCCCTGCCCCAGCAGAAATCAGCCTGGAACCCCAGGCTGCGAGCAGTGACTGAGAAGAGTGTCCTCTCCTTGGCTCTCCCAGCAGATTAAAGGATTTCTGCAAGATCACAGGGCTATTAGCTGGCAGAGCCAGGATGCAACGTGTCTGACTTGGGGACTTGAGCATGGATCTGCTGTCATGGTGTAGCCTCGTGTGTCCTTCAGGGAGAATCCTGCCCAGCAGAGTTTGAAAGTGTATGGGAATATTCCAGTGCCATTAAATGACACTCCGAACCCCACCTTGTTCCGACAGCCAGGGACTTTGCTGTGTCCTCTGCCTTTCAAAATAGTCTCTGTTTTTCTACAATGTTTCCATTTTTGCCTGCTCCTCTGAACTAGCCTTGGCAGGAAGGGGTAGTTTCCTAAAGGCTCAGCAGTTTGTAGCTGTATTTATAAAAAATGAAATACAATTACTGCTTAGTTTTTATCTTGCTATAATCCTACTTCAGGATCTGGGAAGAGCATACAAAAATATTTCATGCATTTTAAATTCCCTCTTCTCTCCCCAAATAGAGAAAGCCAGAGGGAGGCGGGCAGGCACAGACGGCGTGGCTTGGTCCACAGTGGACACTACGTTTTAGGGATAAGGAAGCAAATGTGGAGAACTAACCACCTACATGAGACAGCATGGCCAAAAAGTGTCGCTCAAATCCCAGCGCTTAAATCCACATCCGGCACCCTCCTCTCCTCCACCACCCATCAGGCCTCAGGAAGCCGGTGGCTCCCACCCCACCCCACATACTGGGTGACTCTGTTCTCTAGACAGCCAGTAGCAACCCTCAGATGCAGCTCTGGGCCAGGGCCCTGTGTGTAGTACAGCACAGCTTTGTCACTGGGGGCTCAGTTGGACAAGTTCAGGGGACCAAATCTGCTGCCAAGGAACTAAGTTTAACTCCCAAGCTGAGGTTGCAGGCAGAAATGTCCACAGGGCTCAGGCAGATAAACATAAAACCAGGAAGCCTGAAGGCCACAAGCTGACAGAGAGTCAGCTAAGGACAGACAATTAAAAAATTAAACAAATATCAATGCATGGGCCAAACAAAACCAGTTTGCAGCCTCTGTGTACCTGTAAACTCCAGAGTGGAGTTTCTCAACCTTGACAGGCACTACTGACACCTGGGGCCAGATCATTCTGTGTTGTGGGGCTGTCCTGTGCAGTGTAGGGTGGTCAGCAGTGACATCCCTCACCCCTACCCATTAGAGGCCAGGAGCATCTCCTCCAGTTGTGACAACTAAAAATGTCTCCAGACATTGTCAAATGGACTCTGGGGGCAAAATTGCCCCTGGCTGAGAACCACTAGGTTAGAGCCTGGTGAATGGCGGAACGGTGCAGGGCCAGGCATCAGCAGTGTTAACCATGTTGCTAAAGAGAGCTCTGATGGCTTCTGTGCCTTGTGATTTCCCACTCCATGGGGTCCAGGGGGACAGGGACTGACCGGTCATGTGTGGAGAAGTTGTTGCTGTAGCGAGTGTCTTTGGCATATTTGATGACCAGGCACTTGTACTGGGCGATCTGGAAGCGACGGACCCGTCTCATCAGCTCGGTGCTGCAAGAGCAGAGGTTTGGGTGAGGCCCACCGCAGGAATGGGAGAGCAGGACCCCATCAGCATAAGCTGGGTTCCCCACCGCCCCCTAGTGGTGCACAGCCGAAGCTCCGCCGAGGTCGGAAAGACAGCAGGGCAGAGGTTGGGTAAGAAAGGGCGGGATCTGAGAGTTCACAGCCTGGAGGTGAGAGGGACACAGGCTGTACGTCACTGGGGCCTGCATGTAATAAACGCAGGGACAGTGTTACCTACCGGGAGTTAGAGTTATCTACCGGGAGAGTGGCCAGCTCAGATGGTCCTGGGAAGGGCTGGAGGAGTAAGTTTCTTAGGGATATGGCAGGGAAGGTGGACAGAAGCAAAGGCCACATGCACAGGGACAGGCAGATTGCTTTCCAGAGTGATCTCATCCCAGAGTTGTTCAGAGGGTTCAGGGTTTTCCTGAGTTAATTTCACAAAGCCTTTTTGTGCAATATTGAAAGCACTTGCTTCTGGGTCCAAGAAGTCCAACCCAGAGCCTCATCCTCTTGAGCAAGGCGTTTGGGCTGGAATGACCCCCAGCTCATATAAGAATGGTCAGGGGGGTTTGCTCAGGGGGGCTCACTAACCCACCTCGGCCAGGGCACGGTTCTTGTCACATCAGGGGAGCAAAGGCTCCATGGCTTCAGCTCCTCAATGTGGAAAGTAACTAAGACTCCTCGGTCATATAAGGAAACTGTCACACTGAAAGGGGGTATATG